GCTCCAGGTCTGAAGAGCTGCCTGCTGTTTTGGAAACCTGGGAGCGAGGGAATCATCAGCCTTTGGAGTCAGGTCAGACAACTGGACGGATCCAAGACAGACCTTGACTGGAAGAGGGAAAACCGCAGGGAATCAGCTCTGCTCAGCAGCAGGTGATGTAATGTCTCTGGAAAGCAAGATGGACAGACAGCTCTGATGAATCCTCTCTCTGTCAGAAGAACAAGAGCTGAGGATGGAGGATATTCACACAAACGTGGGAAAAAGCAGAACAGAGGGAGGAAGGAACAAGCAGACGGGGAGGAGGAGGTGCTGAAAAACGGCAGGGGAACAGCTCTTTCTGGGAGAGAGTAGAAAGGATTTTGCGTTGAGGAAAGCTGTTGCCAGTTATTTTTGTACAGATTTTAAAGTTCACCGAACCCAGCTCTGGAAGTTGCATGTTGTGTTTTTGGCTGGCAATATCAACATACCATATGGAGAAGCCTCAGTTTGAGCTTTACAATATTGTTTGGATTTGATATTGACGTATTTTCATTACTGAACCTGCCTGGAATTGTATGTTCTTTTCTTTTGATGTATGATGGGTGAAAGAAATCCACAAAGCAAAGAAGCAAAACCTAAAAACAACAAAATAAAAGCACAGTGACAGTGCTGTATTTTGAATTAAACCTCAACTTCATTGACTTTAGCATCCTGTCATTAACAGCATCTACCAGATACAGTAGATTCCAGACAAAAGGAAGAGGCAAGAAATACTATGCTGCTGTGGATATTATAGACACTGCTTCTCCATCTGTTTGTCCCATTATTACTGGACTACTTCCCTGTTTAAGGGATTTACTAAAATACTAGAGGAAAGGGTGGAATGGTCTAAAGATAGTCCTTACATTTACTGATATAGTAAGCACTGCAGGGCAACAGCTCCCACCTGCTATCTTCTTAGAAGATCCTGAGCAGAAAATAATCTGGAACAAAAACTTGGAAAGTTACTTGGATGAAAGCGTAGAGGCTGTCAGAAATTAAATACTATGGAAAACAGAAGGAACCTGAGGTGTCAGAAATTCAGGAGTCAAGATGAATTTCTGGTTTTGTACGCTTACAAATAGAGATTTCTAAAACTAAAGTTTTCTCTTGTAATGTTTTATTCTTCTGCTGAAATCGCGACAAATTTACTTCGAAAAGTTTAGGGCTTCTCTCACTCCAGACAATGACCACATACATGTACGCATGCAGCTACCCTGCTGACCTGAGCAGAATGCTTGGTGTCAGAGCCTGAAGAGCTGATCTAAGGCAAGGAGAGCCACCATGGCCTTTCAGGTCAGCCCCAATAATGCCGGAATGGAGCTGCTGAGTCAGAGCAGAAGTCAGGGCAGGGGCACAAGTCTCCAGCCTTGTCTCCAAGACTTGAGTCTCCAACACTCAACAGCATCCAGCAAACACCCTGTGCTACATTTTAACCTGCAAGCTGGGCAGCAATAGATACTGCCTTTTGTAAACTTCTCTTCAGCCAGCCACTGTCCCTAGCTGATGCTTTTTGCTACAACCTGCATTTTAATAAACTGTACTTCTGTCTGCTAATTACCGTCAGCAGCATGAAATCAGGCAGTAGTAAGAGGCCCTCCTACGCATCTCTCCCCCCTCCTTGCAGCCCATGCCGCATATTTGCATTTTCAGAGGCTGCTTGCCTGAAATGTAATTGAAGACACACAGATCATCTGTTTACAGTAACAAATTACAGTAATTTCAGTGAGGCTTTCGTGACAATTTTACTCCTAACATGGCTATTTTTGATATGCAGTTAAAGCACAAGAAAGATGACAGCGAGAGGATCAGAAACCCTGCAAAGATGTTAAACAAAGAAAGAATACAGAAGGAATCTTTGTTATAGATATTAAAAAAGCTATGCTGAGTGACACACATCTCTTGCTGGTGTAGGTCACGCTGGACAAAGGAGCCTGCTGGCCACGACCTTGCTCTAAAACCTGCCTTGAGCATCCCTCTAGCAGTGACTCTAGTACTCCATTCCCTTGGCATTTCCATCCATTCCTTACCCATTCCACAGGCAACAGAATAAATCCATCTTCTAGGTAGTATCAGGAGCCACACAACAAGTTCAAATTTCACTGATCCATCCCATGTGATTTTCTACTACTGGTTACAGCCTTTGGTCTGCATTTCTTAGAGCCTGGTGACACGGGCTGCCCAGCCTTCTGCTGCAGAGTCAGTGATGTGGGAACCTTTGGCACTGCTCTCCTGCCACTTTGATTTGCAGAAAACATGGTGTTGGTAAAGATTTAGAAGCAAATGTGGATACAAAGGTAATTATTCCACTATAGGTGGAAGCAAAGGCTCCCTGGAATAACAGCTTATTCATTACAGGGGACACTGGCAGGGAAACTTAGAGACTAGTGGCCAACACAGAAGCAGATCTCTGCAGTAGATATTCACTGAAGGGAAAAGCTCCATTGGATTTAATGTTTTCAGCCTTTTTTTTTTGTACAAGTGGGGAAAAAGGGAAGACAAGAAGCACAGACTTATATTTAAATTGCACTGAAGGTCACAACTAAAAACCTGAAACCATAACATCTGAAAGCAAACAAAGAACTACTGACCTTGATGATGCCACACTAGTTGACATGGTTGATATCCCACTAGACTGCCTACTTGTTTCTCAGTCCCAACTCTCTGCTGGTTAAAAATTTCCACCTCTGCTTGTGCTGGAGTTAGAATAATGGGAAAGAGACAAAAACTGCTGCCGAAAACTCTGCACCATCCCTGTGCAGTTATTTCTGTTTGTCAGAGCATTTGTGCAACACTAACCCAATTCTGTCATCTCGTAAACTTTAATTATTGTCACAAGCACGGCTGAGGTAGGAAGCATTCACATCACCCCCAGAGCAGGCTGAACTGCTGAGCAACCAGCTCATTTCCCCAATGACACCTGAAGTGGCGGTGCAGGGTGGTGCCCTGCCACCTTCACACTGGTTAAGCTGAGCTCTGTTCCTCTATTTTCTCCCATGTTCTCAGCACATCCACTAATTTATTCTCAATTTTAAAAGAAACTAAACCAAACATTATCAGCACAAAGAACATTTTTCCAATCAGAAATCACAGGTGTGCACAATAAATCTTAAAAATATTAAAATCAATCCGGAACCCAAATTCTCCTTGAATTTCACTAAATGCTTGGTTGCATCTCTTTATGCAGTTCTCATGTAAAATATCTGATTTTTCTGGCCTGAGACAACTTGAGTACCAGATGAGAAATGATTTATTTTTTTAAACACAAATTAAATTCACAATTTCAGTTTTGTGTTTAGCTCTATTAGGTCATTGTTGACCATAATTTTCAATCTCATGTTTGGAGGAACACTAGAAATGCTGGCATTATTCAGCTGATATGGTTATCCTCTCTGAAAACCAGCTCTCCGCAAAACCTTGACCTGATGAAGTCAAAAAAATATCTATTTCAAAGACAATTTCCTGTCTTCATTAATGAAGAACGTCACATTCACTTAGATGGCTTCTTCCTCTCTGTGTGAAGATAAGAACGTGAGACCATCTCTGCTGTCTTCAGTAGGCAACTATGAAAGGGAAGAAGCTGGCTAAAACAGCTTGAAGTTCTTAAAAATGGGCTTCAGTCCAAGTCCTGTTAACAGATTACTGTTATTAGCAAAAATCTCTCTCTTCATCACAACGAAGAATGTTAGGCACTGATGAAATTATGCAGATTAATAGGATATAGCAAGTATTACTCAATCACTTTGATAAAAAAAAAGTCCAGTTATTTTCACAAAGCTGTTGATCTCAAGGCCTCCTCATAGCCAGATATGGCGTTGCAAAGACTGGGTCAGTCTGCACAGCGGGGATTGTGTTGTTTTGCAGTTTGTGCCAGAGCTCCCATTTGGTCCTCATGCAAGACTCAACTTTAAAAGTTACTCAGGAATGAAGGGAGCATCAAATAGAGGCATGAGCCTGGCAGATTGTCTCTCGACAACAGCGTCCATAACAGCCACGGGAAGCAAGAAGCTGTGAAGCACGCGTTGCTCAGCTGTATTTTTACCAGTATTGCCTACAAGCATTTCAGTTCCCTATCTCACACCTACTTACATGTGTACTGTGCCTACAAAAGTACGTGAGCTGATGGTAAACTCTGCTACCTAGCATACTGAAGTCAAAAAGAAATTATAGATTCCCCTTCAACAAATAAATTGAGGTAGATTAAGTCCTTATGATGAGCCAGCACCTGACAGGCAGAACCAAGAAATTATTTCTATAGCACACCTTTAAAGAGAGGGCTCTGCTCCAGTCCACCTCACAGCTCGTGAGCAAGATGCTACATCATGCATCAGAGGTAGGTGTGCATGGGAAGCAGAGTTTCACAAAGTGTTTTGTAGACGTTGAAAATGCTTTTCTAAGCATATATAGCACCATTTGCCTCAGAGCTTGCTCAAACCCTTGTATTCAGAGCTCTGCTCAAGAGAACATTTCAAGCCACACGAAAGATCTAATTACAGCATAATAAATACTTTTGCTAGGAAAGCTAAGTGAGTTCTGGGGGAAGTGAAAAGAACCAAAAATCAACTGACGTCTCCATGAGCTGAATTCCCTCGTTTACTTACGAAGCAGTCCAAGGGCAAACACAAAGCCATTTTTCCTCCTACACAAAGTATGTCAGCATGAGGAACCTTCCAGGGAAGTCAAGAAAGAATGCAGCCACTCATTCATTAATTCATTCATTTTCCACCCTAAGACAGCCAGCTAAGGAGACATAGCAGGGGAAGGGAAGAATATACAAGTTTTGCACCAGGCAGACCCCCGCCTATTACAGGCTCGATAAAGGCCACTGAGAGATTTTAGATCTTTAAACCAAAATCAACAACAGCAAAGGAGGCCTTCTCACCAGGCTTTGTGGTAGGGAAAGGGTGTGCCCTCCTACCCATTGTGCCCTTAGATGCTTTCTTCAAGAAAAGATATGGAGCACAGCACAAAAAAAAACTTACTGCTAGAACCACGTGAACCTTTTCAGTAGCAGGAGTGCCTCAATCTCCAGCTACATTAGGAGGGAAGTGACATTTATAGCTCCATTGAAAGCAGAAATAAAGAAAGGCAATGAAGAGGCCAGTTGTTTCCCCTGCCTTCCTTCCTCTCGTGCCTCATAGCCTCATATACCCTCCAGGAAGAAAGCTTTGACTCTCAGAACAGCTGGTCTGCCTCTGACAAATGAGATATGCAGAAAAGGAAGGTTAGGAGTGATTGAGCTGCTAAAGAGGCACAGCTGACCTCAGGGTGCCCGAGGCCTCCCCTCTATTGGAGAGACCCACCAGTTCCTAGGAAACAAAGTGGAGGCATTTCCCCACAGCAGTTCAGGGAAATCTGTTTCACAGGGGATTGCTGATGCTGCTCATCATTGCGCAAATCCTGCTCTCGCTTTCATTTGGGGAATCCAGCAACAATCCTATCCCTGCTGCTCTGGCCATTACGCCACCAACTGCTGAGTCGTGTAGAGAAGAGACTGACTTTAGGCAGGAATTTTAAAGTTGTTGCCTCTAACAAATTGTATTTTCTAATTTCTTTAGAAACGTATCGCACGCAGTTATTTAGTCAGCCTTAACTTTCCTTCCTCTAGGCAAATGGAAGTAAAAATTTCAGATCAGCACAAGAACTGGCGCATTTCAAACCAGACTCGTAAAAAATGCTTTCACGTTAAATGTTGTGAGCAGCCCAGGTGTTCTGTAGGGCCAAGAAAGACCTTCATGGCAGGCTGTCTGCAGCATTGCTCCACATTAGTGCAAGTGCAAAGTGAGACCTATGGAAAATGCCAGGGCGAGCAGAGGGATGCTGTGCTCACCAGGAGATGCAGATGGTAGCTAAAACCCATCTGACAGCAAAATGCTGAGCACATTCCTTAAACAACTTAAAAAAGTATGGGGATTGCACAATCCTCAAGTTGTTTCCAAAGCTCTGGCCTCAGCTAAGACCAGCAGCCCGAAAGCTGGTAACAAAGGAGCTCGTTGGTCTTCGATGCTCAGTGTCAAAGGGGTGTAGCAGCAATGCTTGTGAGAAATGGCATCCTACAGACTGAATGGCAAATGGAGAAGTTTTAATTACTACCGACAGCAGCCACTTTTCATAATTGCTCCTGAGTTTCTTGATGTTGTACCCAAAGCCTGTAGGCTGTCTGGAGGTGCTCTTTGAAACGCCTCGTCGTGAAGCTCCCACCCATAAATCTGCCTCGACTGCTCCCTGCATCAGGTGGAGTGAAGGTCTCCCGGTAATGACAGCTTGGGCATCATTGCCTCAAGTCACTGAACCCTACACCAGCTCTTGTTAGAGGTGGGCTTGAAGTCACAACCACAGCCCCTCACGCTGCTCTGAGCTGGCAGAGCCTCAGGGGCGAGGCTTGAGCCCTGTCTCATATTTCCAGCAGATGTGTGAAAAAGCTTGAGAGAGTTAACCAGTGGCAGTCTTTAGTTCAAGCATGTGCTGCTGTAATACACCATGAAATTATTATCTAGCAATGGCTTAATTTGTGACCTGGAAAGTATCCCCTTCCCCGGGGGGAGATGCAGTGCTGCCCAATCAAAGGCTGTCACTCACAGACCCGCTGCAATTAGCCAGAAGCGTGTTGCTGCTGATAACGGCTATAATGAATCCCAAGCAGAGACACCTTGCCTCACAGGCTGCTGTTTGGGCTTGGAAAACAGTTTCAGAATAAATAAAACAAAAACAGAAGCCATCGCATTAGCTGCTGATTTTTCACCTCCTACTCAAGCGCTCCATGCAGATCCATCGGGGCTCTGTCAGAAGCACGCAATTACTCCCCATCAGAGAGAGCTGCCATGGAGGGAGTGACTTGGTGCATTCCTCGGGGTGGGTGGGTATTTTTGTACTAATTCAGATAATGGAACTGGCTTGCCGAGTGGGAGAAGACTACTCATTTCCAAGGCTACCTCCCAGCCCCCCCCCCACTCCATTCCTTGATCTTTAACATCCTCCCACTGCTTTATGACTGGTGCATTACACATAACCAGCTCCTGAGGTGGCTGCTTCTGGGTAAGAGGAGAGAATTGCTCACATTCCAATGTTGGGTGAGCTGAGGGAGTTGATTTTTTAATTTTATTATCTTTTTTTTTTGGTATTGCATACAACAACATGTATATTACACTGCACTGCAGCAAATCACAGCTTCCCCCCAGCAAGTGACACTCTTCAGAAAGGTGATGGAGAATGCCAGGAACAAAGAAGCCAGATGATGCCCTTGCTGCAGAAGCGAGGTCTGGGCAGCTGGTGCCCAGCTTTGCACAGCAGGTCTCAAAAGGTGCCAGACTGCTGAGCGGGTATCTCAGCCAAACCAGGACAGGAAAAGCCCTGATGCCTGACTTCCAGCTGATGTTTCTGACACTTCTGGCCAGGGCCTCTAAGCTGATATCCTGGGCTGGCAGCCTGTCTGGGCATGTCCTAACTCCTTCCTATTTTGCTAAGCTAGCATTTGTGTTTCTGGTCCTTTTCACTTCTTGTCAGGTGATAAAGTGAGTCAAGGGAGCGCCTGTGCTGTCAAGCCGAGACCATTCCCGGTGCATTCCAGGCATACCGCGGGCACAGGCAGCTTGTTCCAAAGGACAGCCAAGACCTGGAGCCTCCCTTTCCCTTTCCAGGTGCCCCAAATCTGTTAGTCCCTGCTTGAGTCCAGTAGACTATGTGTAAAGTGATGTTTTATCCCTACAGTGTTGCAAGAATTTAGCGGTGGTTGCAAAAAGCTGTGTTGTTAATAAAACACTAAAAAAGTTGCACAAAGTAAACCTATTTGCTGGTAATTTACTTCTGTAATCGTGTCCGTACAATCCAGGAAAGGAAATACGAGTGAAATGCTTCTACTTTATTCGCTGATAAGGTATTCCCCCACTAAGCACATGAGGAGAGCTATGCCACCTTATCACTGTCTGCCTCATTGCCCAGATGGCACAGAGGTGCTTCCTGACAGATAATGCACTCGGCCTTTTGAGTTTAACCCAAAGGTTTCCCTCCCTGGCACTCTTGAGTACAAATTCTTCAGAACAGAATTAAAGAAGTATTTATCCCAGATCGCTGAATGATAGTATTAGAGAAATCTCCTTCCAGCCTTATCTGTGCCAGCCAGCTGGCTCCTGTGGGTGACCGAGGCACCGAGCAGGGACGTTCTCAGGCTGCTGCTGACAGCGCGCTGCGGTGTGACAGGCTGCAACAGAGCAGGGAAGCTTTTAGTACAGAATATATCTTATTAAAAGAATATAGTCAAGAATATATCAAAAAAAAAAAAAAAAAAAAGCACGTCCCTTGCCAGCATAATATTGCCCACCACACAACTGTATAAGAGCAAAGCTGCAGAGGCACATCCCAACCTCAGAGTTCACTACAAGGAGACCCTGGCAGCAAACTTCCCCTACGGGATGCGTAACGTGGTCGCTAAACACATGATCACCAGCAGCAGACAGCTGGAAGTCAAACAGCAGCTATAAAAACCTTTGAGACGTGACAGCCCCATCTTACAAATTGGTATGGTTCGACACCTGTTATTATTTCCACACTTTATTTTCTCCCCCGTTATGAATCACACCGACTTTCCCTGGTATAACACATACACCAGGCAGGTAGGGGAGCTGGCCAGAGGGAGAAAATCTTAGCTCTGGGTAATTCCACAATGAGGGTAATTAGTTACAGCCTTGCTCTTATCATCTAAAACAATGCAGAAGAAAGGAAGGACTTGCCCCTGCAAGTTTATTCATATTAAGACAGATGAGACAATAGGGATCCTAGAACAATTTGGTGTTCAACTTAATCCAGAATAAATGAATGAATGTTGTGATTTACCATCTTCAAATATTTGCCCTCCAGGTAAAAGAGGTTCAACTGAAGGAGGTACCATGTCTCTAAAATAAGCAAGGCCATGCATTAAATTATTATGGGATATTGTGCAGAGAAATCCTCAGATTTTCAGAAAGAAACACAGTCCTTCACTACAAAAAAGAGAGGAACAGTTTCTTCTGAGTTAGCAAGAGCAGGGAAACAAGAGAAAAATACAGTGGAGAAAGACAAGGTTTTAAATTTGGCTGTGCATTAAGAAACAAAAATTACTCACTTCTCTCAAACTAAACTATGCTGAGTTTTTCTCTGTTACATATATATTTAGGCTCCCAACCCAGTCAGACCTACACCAGCATCACAACACTGAGTCACTGACTGACGCAGACGCACCGAGTTCTCCAGCTGAAGAACTGAAGCCTTTGCCTACTGACAACAGAAACAGGGAGTCTTCCCTTCTTCTTCTTCTCTCTCTTTTTTTTTTGTCTTGTTTTGTTTTTGTTTTGTTAACATATTCCTCCTCTTAATAGTATCAGCAGCTTTAAAACTGTAGTCTAAGTGTTATCACACAGAATCTAAATTATTTTCTACAGTAAACAACCTGGAACCTGAAAACAAATGTTACCTTCCATGAAACCCTGGTTGATTTAAAGCTTAAAAATCTTTTCCCATACAGCTTCCCATGGGTACAGTAGAAGCCTACCCCATGAGCAGTGGCCATGGGAAAAGCCACTGCTGAAGTCCTATGATGCCTGGCACTTCCACGTTATTTTTACTGGGAAAGATTTTAAAATATTTCCCCAGCGCACAGAATATTTCTGGAATACCTGAAGCCTGGTAGTTCGTGAGCTGTGAAAGGCTAACAAATATTGAAAGCCCTAACAAATACAGTATTCTGTAGCTTGTTTCAAGAAGTTCTGGCCACAGAAGTTGTCACAATGACAGTCCCACGTTAGCGGGTGTTTTAAAGAAAGAGGATTTGAGCAAACAAGCGCAGCCCAACTGCGTAGCTCCCCACTGATTGACCACTTTGTCTCTTCAGCCACTATTAATAAGCAAAAAGTAACTCTTCATCATCCCAGCAGCTGAGAGCATTTTACCATAAAAAAAACTCCCTTGCCCATAAATCAGGGCTTATCTAAAGCCACGTTTGACGTGCTTGCAGAGGAGTAAGAGAGGCACTCGGTGAGCAGCAGGCTGAACGCGCGCACAGGAGCACGCCGTGCTCGGGACCAAATGTGCAGATCCCCAGAGCTCCAGCACAGCTAATGACATCCTCCCTTGCAGGCGCTGAGATCCCATTAACTGGTGAATCACTCTGCCATCTGCAGAGAGCAGGTCCTCCCCCCTCGTCCTCCCCGCTCAGGACAAGTAAAGGGGAAGCTTGGAAACAACCTTCAGCTCTTCCAGTTCGTCTTCATGGGTTTCATTGGTAATCTTTCCAGTTTTCTCTCACTGGGGTTTTACTACAAAGTAACTTACCACCTAGAGGCCATCAGGTTTCAAAGCTGCATGAATACCAACATTAAAAATGACAGCCACAAGTGACACCTTGAAGAGAGCTGCACAGATAAATAATGGTTTCGTGTTAATTGCAATTAAGCAATGCAGCATTCATTTAAGAGCCAGAACTGAAGAACTGTGAAATATCACAACACCATAACAGAGCATTAACTTGGGAGACTAACAAGGCTGAATCCAGCTACCTGCTAAGACCCCAAGCATATCACAACTTCCAGAGACCATGGAAATCTTCCAGACACAAAGAAGAGCAACTTTATTTACAGGTCAGTGCCTCCAACACCACCTTCACTTGGTGGCTTGGTGCTCCGAGGCCATACAAAAGAAGGAGCTCAAGCCACCTGCCTCTCAGGCTGCCAGCTGATAACCCCATGCCAGCAGCTGTTCTCCTCCTCGTTCCAAGGAGCCCAATTAGTCACTCAGCAGGAAGGCCAGCCGCAGCCCCAGCCCCAGCCCCAGCCCCGTCACAGCAGTGACTTACTGGCTCCAACTTACTGCGACCGTGGTTCCCAGGAATTTTCTTAGCAGCAGTCCATATTCCGCAGCACTCCCATCAGGGAGCTGGCACGGCTGCTTGGACACCCACGCTGGCAACCAGACCAGATAACTGATCCAGATGCAAAAAAAAAAAAAAAAAAAAAAAAAGGTATTTTTTGCTGTGCTAGCAGCATGGGGAACGTGGCATGGAAGCTGGTTAAGATGACTTCAGCAGCATTGCCATAAAAAGCAAAACCCCTGCCAAATGATCTGCTTTAACAAGTCCTTTTTTTTTTTTTTTTTTTTTTTTTTTAAAGCTGGTTTCCAAAACATTTAAAGCTGAAATTTAAACTCTCTGCTAGATGGTATCTCCTCCCTCACCACTCACCATATTTTTTTTTTCTTTTTTTGAGCACTCATCTGGCTTCCAGATCAGAATGAAAGCACCACTGATGGTCTTGAAATTAGCTTAGGGAAAAAAAAAATAAAAAGGCAGTTCAGACAGGTCTAGCTGATTTCACAAGCATTTACAGAGTTTTCAGCACTGAATTCAGATGTACCAGCAACAAATACCCCAGAGCAATCTCTTTTCCCTTAAATTATCTCTAAATCCTAAGGCTGCTCCCTCCCCACACCTGACAAGAGCTATGGGTTTGGAGTCAGTCAAAAAAACGTCCCCTTACCATAGTCTATTATACATATTCAAGCTCTAACTTCTTTAAAGATAAAGACAACCATCGCAGTGCTTAATGCCTAGTTTATTGAGTAATTTCTCTAAGTCCCACATTTAGATAAATGAGAATTGAAACAGGAGAAGGAGGCTCACCTTGCCTCTATGCCAATTCCCAGGGCTTCATGCTGAACTGAACACGACAGAGGAAAATTGCTGATAGCTTCCTGGGGCACCCTGAGGATCATTTCTATCTCAGCAATGACTTTTGGAGACCTTGTATGTGTGAGACTTCCTTTGTTTTTCTGTATATAAGAATATCTGGAGAGACGACAACTGATTTAGCAAATTGTACATACTATTTAGCTAATGTGCAAGTCATTACGGCATGAAGCATCTAATCTCTTCTTCGCTTCTCATTACAAAGAATACATCCCTGGTGTTGGTTTGTTTTTTCTTCCTTTTGCTTTAATGAGAGCATTAAGTGCTTTGCCAAGAAACCTGATTAAGGTACTATTTTAACTTGTATGTTCCAATAAAAGTAATATTCAATTGACAGCCTTAAGTGGATGACGAAAAAACACCTTTAAAATTTTTAAAATCCAAGGGGTAAACCAATGTTCTTCTGCAAGAAGACAAAATTACCAATTCCTTAAGGCTGGTTTGGGATACACCCATTCAAGAAGGTGGTCAACAAAGCAATGCAGATTGTCACGGCTGTCTTAAGCAGCAGTTACAAGAGAGTTATCCCAAAGGGCTATCCATTTATTGATAGGAGTTATTTGAGTTATGCTATGGTTGCCAAGCAGGACAGCAATGCACGGAGAGCCTCCTGACAGGTCCTGCACGTCCACAGCAGCAGGAGATGACAACTTTGCACCTTCTGCAGAAAGCTCCTGAGACCCAGCACTGCTGGGCACAGTGAGCTGTGCTCAGAGAAAAAACAAACCTTTACTGAACTCTTCAGGAAACTGGGGTTTTCTCTCACCTGCCTTTTTTTCCTCTTAGAATAAGATTCCAAAAAATACCCTACGAGTAATTAATTCACTGATTTAAATTACTTTTCGTAATCACCAGTTCTGTATTTTGTTCCCTTTTACTCCTAATTACCAATGTTCAAATTTCAAGCGTGCTGCTTAACAGCAGCTGGTCAAGCGATTCAGATGATGCCGTTTCCACTTTCCGATAGGACGAGTACCTCAGCACTGCATTTTATGGCAGACATCTCTAAAGCATCTGCAGCATCAGCATGCCAAAGACATCATCTCTCCATCGGACTTCTTCCTTGCCTTCCCTGCCATGCCCTCAATTACCTACAGCTTGTGTACCCTCTCTTCTCCTTTCCACATGGTTTCCTTACCATGGCCATGACAGCAGATGTAGGAATTAGGGGAGAGTGAACACCCCTCTGTGTGTCAGCACTTCCCCAGGTCACTACTTTGTTAACTGCACAGCAGTTAGGGTAATGCCTTGGTACTGGACTCATGGGATATTAGAATTACATACGGGGAAAAGGAAATGAGTAGCAAGAGGAAGTGTTAACACGGCATATTTAAAGTACGTCTTTCTGTCCTTTTGCATCAGCTATGTGTTAGTAATCCAAACAATCTTTCTTGCTTAAAAAAATAAATAAAAAAGTGGAATAAACAAACAAACAGTTTTTGTAAGAAAAAAACTACTGCAGGGAGCAAACAAACAACTTTTTGTTTAAGTGTGCGTGGCAGCTCTCCCTCTGGGAAAAGTTTTATTTTTCTCTTCATGATTTATCCGCCAGTCAGAGCTCCACGTACTCCCCACCCTTCCGAGGCTGCCAGTTGACATGGAGCTCTGAGACGTGACTGTCACTGATGCATCTCACGAAGCTTTATAATGTCACCTTAATTTTCCACTCTGACCAACTCTCTCCCCCTTAGACTTCCCACAGGGTGAGAATCTGAAAGAAACAAAGGCGGAATCAGTCACCTAACCTCACATTTCAAGTGAGTGGCTGCAGCCTGAGCTGAATCAGAGCCTTTTGAAATTGAGTCATTTTGTCTAGCTTGCTGTAATGCGATAAGCTAGATGGGATAGAAATTCTATATGTTATTAACACGGAATTATTTCAAAACATGGAGTTAAGATAAGAGGAGAGTCCAGGGAGGGCTAATCTGTGCCTGGCAGCCCACACTCTCATCACATGCCGATTGCTTTGTTAGTCATCTCTTCATCAGTGCTCTCAGCCCACTCCTGCTCCTCCTGCAGTAAACTTTAATTAACCAAAGAAACACTGGACTTACTCACTGAAAATGGAGAAACAGAAAAACGGAGAGACTGAATGCTTCTCCTCATAGGTGAGTGCAAACCAGCGTGGAGGTAGAGGAAAAGTTAACTCTTCAAACCAAGCCAGCGGGAATACCTGCAAGCGAGCATTTTGAAACAATCCAAAAAGAAGACTTTTGTGACCTTGTGCTTTCACATTTCTTTCCCTGGCATGCTTTTCAGGATAGCAGCTGGTCTTTTGCAATAAATTAAATCGACAAAAAAGCAAATAGAACAACACATGAGTCACCTGCGTGGAGAGTTCAATAAAATCACTGCTCTTCATCTGCTATGCGTTATCCCTGTTCCGACGGGACAATTGTTAGCTAAACGACAAAAACAAGCAAGTCACATAATAGCAACGTTTGTACTTTAGGGTGAGCCTTCAGTTCTTTCTAATTTTAGTGAGCTAGCACCACCCCTGCATCTCATGCCAGCTACCACAAGAGGAGCAGCATCTTGTCAGGCTACCAGAAGTAACAGCTGAGGTGTTATGCTTTTGTTATGCTCCTATGGATAATAATTAACCACCGAGGGAAAGGAAACCACTTCAGTAGAGCACGATCCCCCTGTACGACTGGTTGAACAAGCTGCCACGACTTGACAAAGAGAATTGTTGGTGAGGAGCTAAGGTGTTATCCTCCTGCATCCCCATCCTCGCATCAGCACTCGCACACCTCCTCACCACACCGAGCCGGGCAGCATCAGGCCTGGAAGAGGAACATAGGAAAATAGGGTCCTGGCTCTTCAGCTGGGCATGTTTCTGTATCATTTCTGGAGTGCTTGGCCTGCAGACCCCATTGGAGAAGCAGAGCAGACTGGCAGGTTGTAGACTTGACTGGATGACACCAGTAGCTAGCACTTTGTGCCACACGGAAGAGCTGGGGTTTGGACACAGCTGCCCACCAGCCTTGCATGCTCATAATGTGTTCTGCATCGTGCCCTGCACCCAGCCCACACCTGGCCCATTTGCATAACTTGCAGCACTGCAGTAGAAAGAAATTATGGAAACAATGACTGAGGCAGCATTCAGCTTCACGTGGATGTGCTGCTGCATTGCCCGGCCATAACACGCCGCTGACAGAACCAGCTCTAGGTAGATTTGTCACTTCTGTGTCCTCACAGTCTCTCCTTTCTTCTCCTAAGCTCTGTATTATTTGACTAATGCCCCTCCCAGCTCTTCTTTCTTCCCACTTTTCACCATGATCTACATTTTGCCCATCTTTAGCACTCTGCCACCTCACTACTCTCTCCCTTTCTCCAATGCATGCGATGTACCTCTTCACACTAGCACCTCTGCTTCAGTCACAACAGACCAAGATCAACTACACCAGGGTCCTGCTTTTGCTGGTGACCACTGGCAGATAGTTGAGAACAATGGTAAGAACCAGTCTGATTTCACTCCACTTCTAGGCCCTCTCCTCACTCGGAGAGCACCCTTGGTCACTCAGAGCTGTCACTCAGTGCCACATCCATGTGCCAAGCCAGATTTACTATTAGTGACACACCTGGGAGCGTGGGCTGTATTCACAGCTGATGCAGGGCAAATCTCGAAGAACTAAGCTCCACTTTTACATACCCTCTTCTCAGGCAAAGCTGTAGGAGCAGTGTCCCTGATCTGGCACTTCAGATGCTGCTGTTGCATCCCAAACAGCAAAACAAGCACCGAAGATAATGAAGGCTTGCTCCTCCTAAGCACAGTGTGAGAGGCAGGAGGTTCTTACCATTAAGGCTCCTGTTACCTCAGCCAATTTCAGTTTTGCTCCAGCAAACTGCTGTCTCCCTCCCCTAATCAAGGAGGCACAGCAGTGAAGGCACTTAGCCACCTCTCCATTTCACAGCCTAGAAGAACGCCTGGTGTTTTGGCACAGGAAAGACACGCAGGCATCCGCTCACAGACTTGCTGACCTGGCACAATGTTCAGCTGTAATGCTCAACTATTTTCCCTTGCAAATCATTGTTAACATCTAATTGGGAACACTGTAGAAGAGGCTGCCGGATTTGGAGAGAGGTTATGGGAAGCAAAGCATTACCTAGGATGTTGTTCTGCTCTCCAGGGAGCAGGCAGAGAAGGACAGCAGAGGCTGCCCAGATAGATAGAGCAGACTGAGAAAAACTAGCACCATGCAACAGTCTACCACCAAGAACAAGTTTATGTCATCATAGAATCAAGTTTCACAGCTTCTCTCATGCCTGATATAAGAGGTATATAAATTACCATCAGTCATAGATGAGTAATAATCATGCAAGGATTAACTGGATTTGGAGAGAGCAAAGGTAAAATTCAGCGTGGTGTTTGCAGCAGTCCTGAAGCCCCTGACTACAAAAGGGTGGCTGAAAGAGCTTATGTTTTTATGAGCTTTCACTTTGACTTTTAACATATAGATGTGCAAGTTATGTGACTCAATACAAGCACGTAAATCAAATCAATCAATTCAAACCTGAATTTCAGGAAAGTCACATACTAATGTAAATCAATCGGAATGTAAAGAATTGCTATCTTGTTGTCAATTAAGTCATTTTCAGTCCTCTCTCTGAGTTAGGCTTCAATTCAGATACAGGTATGTCTGACAGTCTGATTTATACCACGAGGTCTCCTCTCCTCTAGATTTTACAGAAGAAGTATGGCAGTTGAATAATTACCCTCACATTGGAAGAACAGACTCCATTCTGCCTTCTTTCAAGGTGTATTACAACCCTTAAGCCCAAATCACTGATAAATGTACTGTTTAGTATGCCTGCAAAAGCTGAGGAATACCTGTATGCCTTACCTCCTCTTTCATACACTCACACACTTTGATAAGAGCTCCAAAATAATAACACAACAGAGATGCAGATCAAAGTGAGCAGCTTCAAAAGCACAGCAATGATGGAACCCCCAGGTCTTCTCAGGGCAAAAACCCCTTCTGAGCACAAAGTTCTTCTACAGGTTTGGTTCTTCTACAGGTTCCTCTTTGCACTTGCCTGAAGTCACTACTCATTTCTGAAACTCTGTTTTTTTGCTAAGCTAGCATAAGACTTCACAGAATCATTCTTAAATGATTCTTAAAAATGACTTCTTAAAAAGGACTGATTTTTTTTTCCCTAACTCTAACATAGCTTAAATCATATAGTGGTATGATATGTAGATGGCAGAAATCTGTATCTAGACCTTCAAACCTGCCAGCTGGCAGAGATGTTATTCTAACGCTATGTAAAGTTAACAACAACAAAAAGGCTTATCCCAGTTTTACAGCCCCTTTAATACGAATAACTATCGTGCTTCACTATACCATCCTGACCATCACAATCCCCTTCCTTTCAGCTCAGTGGGACCCTTGAGTCCCTCCTGATATCAGATTCCTACCAGGAGCTGTAATTCATCATGTCACCCAGCTGGGACCCTGCTTAGAATATTAAAAACAAAAATATATGCTTCTCAATAGCACTCTCTCGATTACCTAATTGATATTTAAAAATTAACAATAATAATGCTAAAACACCCAGCAGCCTAATTATCAGCTGCTTTTCATTTGTACTCCCATTACATTCACAGCTGCTTCACAAAGTGACAGGCTGCTGTAGGAAGGCTGCCTTGTGTGCCTCCATTCAAAGCCCTTCCATTTATTCCTCGGAGAAGGACGACACAAAAAACTCAAACGCCTGCTTGGTATTTGGCAGATGCAATTCTCACATGACACACTATTCAAAGAGCAAACAGCAAGAACCACACGATGTTCCAAAGGTATTTTCTTCCTCCTGAGCTAATAAAAGAGTCAGCTCACAGGTGTCCCCTAATCTCTTTGTTATCCGAAGGAATTCCTCTTTGAGCTAAACGCCTCAGCTTACCTGCCTTGTAACAAACCACAGCTGAAAACCTGGCAGCAGTGATCGCAGCCACTGCTACCGAGGGGTGGAGGCAGGAGAGGGCAAGCAAGGCCTGCATGATGGGCAGAGCCATGACAGGACACTGAGGTGTCCAAGTCCTGTCGTGTAAAACTGATCCAGCTGGAACCCCTCTTGGCAGGGACGCCTCAAAAAGAAGAAAGAACACGCAATTACATTTTGTTGGCTTTGAAACACGCTAAATTGACTGAATATGTGTCAACTTTATGCAGCGAGATGTTTCAGCTACTTTAAAATGTATTTTCTGGTGTATTTCTAATTTGCCAGGGTGTTCCTCTGCCAAGTGCAGAACACAAACCTGTGCTAGGAGCGGGCCTGCGCCACCTCGGCAGGACCTGGGCAGTTCTGCTCGGCAGGGCTAGGCCCGTTTCAGGCTGGCCGTTGTAAGGAAACCCTGGCAAATATACAATACCCATGTGTTACATAGGAAAGGCCTCCTCTGTAATGTTTTACCTTGCACATATATCAGCTGGGACCATCCTGATGACCTAAGGAAAAATATTCGTACTAATCAGCAGACAACCCGGGGCACTCTTTTTCCAGGATCAGCTAACCCAAGCCTGCTATTCACAGCACCTGAAAGCTTAACTCAGCGCCTCCAGCTACTCAGTACAGCTGAGAAACCTTCAAGTAATAACATTTTCACAGCAACCTAACTTATCACCAGGTATAAAAAAGTTATTTCTATCCAGTCGCACTACCCATAAATAAAGAACCAAATAAAATACAGAACATGCGAAATACTGTTTTTAAAGCAGCCATCAAAGGCTAAACACAACCCTTGGACTAAGCTGATGTTTGTCTGCTCCTGATTTAGAGCAGTGAAAAATCAGGATATTTGGCCTCTGTTTAGGTTAAAAGCTCTCTCAGACAGACTCCACAAAGGCCCAGCGAACACAACGCTGGACATGCTCCATTTCTGAACATAGGGTGGCATTGGTGGTAGGGGGATGGTTGGACCAGATGATCTTGGAGGTCTCTTCCAACCTTAATGATTCTATGATCCTATGAACACTTCAGTTATTTTTAAAGGAGAAAAGCTTGTCGTGAAAGAATAAATGAAGAAAAGGTACTGGACACAAACAAGATATAAAAAACATAAACATACAAAAAGAGTTTGACAGTATCAGTTGGCATGACAGGTGAAAATTCCACCTTTTCAGTGGTTTAAGGATATAAAAAAGCATCCTCAATGAGATTAGGACGCTTGCACTTACAGAAATACTCCCTGTAGGTACTCCACCTGAGGTTGCTATGTTTGGCACACCTGGGTTTTTCGGTAGGGGCAGTTTATAAACCACAAAATAGCACCAAAGTACAAGATGCAGCCTTAAATTCTAATCTGGAGTGAATGCCACCACCTGGGCCAAATGGAGGGAGGAAAGAAATGTGCACCTGTGATTTCAGGGGTTAACTCAGCCAAAAAAGCCAAGAAAATCCCACCTCAAAACCATTTTTGTTGAATTTTTGTTGAAATTTTTGGATTAACTCCTGTTTATTTTATTATTAATGTTACTCTCAAAGACCAATTACATACCTGAAATAATAAAATATGGAAAATTGTAACAAACCTAATATCCTTGTGGAAATTTGTGACAGGATTTGCATGCCTTTGGTTTATGTTTTAAACTAAATCAGATGTCAAGCTTGAATCCAGCCAAGGATTTTGCTTTTTTTTATTTTATTTTATTTATTTTTTTATTATGGGGTAACCAATCTATGAATAATGTACTTATTTATTTTAAGGTCTGTTACCCAGTCCATCAAAAAAGACCATGTGCCTTGCAGTCCCTTCTGACTACCCTCAGCCAATATACACAACTTTCTGATGATTCTAACCTGATGAGTTACAACTGGTTTTGTCATCATACAGCTCACAAGCCACAAAGCACGCCAAAAGCATGTTTTTACAAAATAATCAGGAGTCAATCAGGTTTCAGACTTTTAAGATTTTGAACCAAGACACATGAAGAATCAGGAGGAATGAATTTAAGGCAAAGGGCATGTTTACTATAAATGATGTTCCCTCTCTTGCAGTTATAAACACTTGGGTGGTTTGTTTTTTGAAGGAGTAAGGAACAGATGACAAAATCAGATTCAACGACTCCGTTTGTTACGGAAAACAAGCTGTTTTATTTATTGGTTTATAACTGGGAGCTCTGGGACCTTTTCTGATAATAGGCTTCAGCAGCTGAGTCACAGCAGTGCGCAGGATTAGTCACATCGCAGAAGTGTCCCAAGGTTGCATATCCATCGGCTGTATTTACCTGCTATATATTCATTTTTTTTTTTTCTCTAAGTGGAAAATCTCTGAAGTTGTGTGCTTCAGGACCTTCTGGCTGTGTCCCTGCCCAGGGCACAAGGCGCTCCATCCGCTGGTGCCGCGGGACCACGAGGCTGGGTCAGGCCGCGGCAGCAACGAGGAGGAAGGTGACGGCTGCTGGATGCGGGGAGAAGAAGAGAGGGCTCACAGCTCGAACAGCAACATATGCTATGTGGGCCACGGCAGAGCAGTGCATGCGTCACGCTGACTTGAGGCTATTTTAGGCAGTGATGGGTAAACTAAATGACTTAGATGAGCAACCGAGCACCCTCCTTTCACTCTGTGCTCCAGATGATGAGTCCGAGGGTACTGCAGGAGGTACGCGTGCTCCCCTCTGCCCTGTGATCTTCCTTCTCTGCAAATGTGGAATAAGGATGAAATGGAAGCAACTTTTCCCAGGATTGAACAAAATAAAACCCGTATCAACGCCTCAGGCCTCCATGTTTTCATTTACCCTCTCTGTGTAATCCCTAAACCTCTTCTGCCTGGAAGATCTGACCTGGCTAAACCCAGCTCTCCCATGAGAGATGCCAGTTACTGCCTACACCGCCTGACCACATGAATGCCAGGGAGCATATCTTAGATATTTCACGTACCTTTTACGAAAACCTTGAATGTGGCCCTGTTTAGACATGGATGCCCTTCCACTGGGGCCCACATCCTTATGCTACCCATATGCTTCTCTCTCAGTGAGCACTCAGGTCACTGTCTGCCCAAGGGACATCTCAGACACTCGTCTCCCACCAAGTGAACTACAGACACAGTTGAAATTATCTCAGATGGAAGCCTATCTGCATGGCAAAACAGGAAAAGAGAAAACATACAGTAAAAATTACTTAAAACTGCACTTAAAGAACACGTTATTACAGGGACCATCCCCCAATAAACTTGCAATCTGTTAAACAAATTTTCACACCAAAACAAAACATGGTTAGCCAAAGATAGTTTATTCTACAAACGACGGCACGATGGCACTTCGCTGCTCTGTGTTGGCTTTCTCTGCTCACAGCTTCAAGGACAAATACAAACAGCCCACTGAACACAAACAGCTCCACAGACTATTCCCTTTCTTGTGAGGTTAACATGCATTCACTCAGTTTAGTTCCTCCATGGGGTACAGGCTATACATTGATTTGATTTTACATTTCTTCCTGCAGTAGGACCCAAACTCTCATCTGTAGGCTAAACCACCCCTAATTTCCTTCCGTCTATTATTCCATATTCTCCTTCCTCTCTTCCTGTTTCTGTGTTAAGGGTATCGACATGTACTTATGACAAAGTTATCCTCCTTTCTCCTACAAACAAATTGCTTTAGAAGATTCTTAACTGGTCTTATTAGACGCACAGAGTGTTTTGATGCCATGCAGATGGAAATACACTATCTGAAAGCTTGACCAGCTCCAAAAGAGAAGTGGATCAATACCTATTGAACACTCTATACTAACATCACTCATAGTATTAATACAGCTGACGATAGGAATAGTCCACAGAGACTTATCAAGTGATTGCAAAGTTCAAAACCAATAGTGTTTCCCTGTTCAGATCTGTTCAGAAGCGCCAAAGAAATCTAGAAAGATTATTTCCCAAGAGGTTTCACTAACAAACCACCACCAACAAAAAGGATTAGCATAGCTGATCTAATATTTCAACCACAGCTCCTGACAACAGCTTCCCCAAGGTTAGCCTTAAAATTGTATTGCAGCCTAATTTACTCTTGTTTTACATCAGTCTGAAGCCATGTCTATATTTTATTGAACCCTGATTGTGTTACTGGTTTTACATATTAGCCAGATTCAATTTTTTAAGATGGCTTCATGGTTTGAAACGCACCATCATCTACTGGTGGGTAGTTTTTAGTGCAGCAGGAAATGGAATTAGGAAAGATCTACTGACTTAATTGAAGACGCCACTAAAAGCATTTGTCAGCTGTGAATATTCTGCCCTCGCGCTTTCTGCAGTGGTCCTGGGGGAGCGTGCTGAGCAAACAGCCACGCTCCCAGCACAAAGCAACTCTACCGCAAGGAAATCTGTGATGTAGACCTGGTCCACGCATCTATATCCGAGCAGGAGGTGCATTTGCTGCAGTCAATATGATTTGTGGATGTGCAGTGATTTTATTATGATAATTCTGCTGTGTTGTGCCTCTTCTCTAGCTCCAAAGGAAACCCAAACTCTGGAAGAAAAACAAAATTCAACACCACAAAAGCCTCTACCTTCTCTGCTGCCGTAATGTATATTTGAATCCCCAAAGTGACTAAAAAAGAAATTTATTATGAAAACTCGTCTAAATATATGCAAATGAATATTTCCTATGATCGCTATTCCGATTTACCAGGTAGTTGCTCTCTTCATTTTATTTCAGTAAAAGGAAAAAGGTGAGCCCAAGTGAATGTCCTAAATCTAGTAATACTAACACATGACTGTCAGTGAAATAAGTCTGCTTAGAAATAACTCTGAAAAGAGGCAGAAGGAAAAAAAAAAAAAAAAAAAGGTACATTTGAGTTCTGCTACCATGTTTTCTCCCTGTGGCTTAAGACATCACTGTCATGACTCACTCCGGGGATTGGGTTGCTCCCTGGGCGACACGACCTCCTCATACCGGCTTTGTTCCTCATCCTGGTACAGATTGGTCATCTGCTGACACCAAATGAAGAAATTTCCTTATTAGTCATATCTGGATCTATAAAACTAATACCAGAAAATGATGTTCAAACAAGCCCAGTGCTGCTTCAGGTATGCGGCCTTCCGACATTTCCAAGCTGAATAGTTTCATTAGGTGGGGGAGGAAGGGCATAAAGAGAAAAAAAAATAAAAAAGTGTTAGATGCAAAACTGCTTTGGGGCTCTAGCTAAAATCTGTGCAGCAGCACTGCTCGCAGGCAGTTTGGATCCACATTTAGCTTTCCATGTTTATTTGCTTGACTGGCAAATCCCAAGGAGATTCTGAGGCTGGTGTTTTAAAAACAAAAAAGATAAAAACACACTGAGCCTTAAAATCCAGGAGGCTCAGTCAGCTCTCAGCTGCACTTTAGCTGATTAGCTGTCCATCCTTAGGCTGTAAATCACTGTGTCTTCCCATGATGCAATTAAAAACTACACACCAGATCACCCCGCCGAACACAGGCGCAGGTGTCAGCCTACACATGCTCTTGCCAGCACCTGTCCTGCCCAAGCTCAATACATTTCCGACCTGGTGCAAACCCAAAAACTCTGAGAAAAGCAGGCTGCATCAGAATAGTAAGTGTGATTTTATACCCATTTGCTTAATGTAAAAGATACAGCAGCAATATCAAACCAGGAATTCGTTACAAATTACATTTCCAGGAGACTTACTCCATTAGCACGGCAGGCTGAGGCAGTAGCAGAGATGCAGGGAACTTTGCATAAATAAACTTAGGTTTTCTCCAGTGGCAGTATGTTTGCATCAGAGACAGCACTTTGCCCACTGCTGAATACAATCATCCCCTCTGTCAATCCCAAAATGATTTCCCTTGGAAGAAATCCCAAGAATATAACACGAAATATTATTACTCTAGATAATGCCCGTTATAATGGTCATTGACAACAATTATCTTCATCTTGTTCCCACTGACATTGGTTGCTTTTCATTTTAAGCTCCCTCCCCTGGTAACAGCACTGGGTCCAGTGCCACCCAGCAGCACATTTTACCCTCTCAGCAACTCATGCCAGTGTGCTTGACCAAGAACAGGACAAACGTCCCCCCTAATCAGAACCCATTACCTACCCCTGAGGCAATAAAATACCAAGCCAAGCTGCAAATCCTCTGACAGCCCTGAAGCTTTGTAACAAAAGGATGTTGATAGCACTTAAGTCAAATAAAATTGCTAAAACCTTGACTATTTTTTTTAAAGCAACCAAACAAAAAGCTCCCATAGGTTTTAGTCAATACACAGTGAATAACAATTATCCCAGAGCCCAGACATGGTGTTGATACCTTTGTGAAATCAAAAAAAAAAATTAGTAAGGCTTCCAGATCTCCTA